ATTCCATTATATTTTTTAGCGACTTTATTCAGTGTACCAACAAATATTGGAATGTATGTAGCGCAGCATTGAATATATGTGGCGCTGCGGGTTCTGGATATCCTAATTGAGACTTCTCATTTCGAACGTGTGGCGGCCTTACGGCCAACCCATGCACTACTTGCATCCTTGAGTGTCGTAGCACCCAAGACCAGTTTTCATTATCTGAAACCGCTCTTTAGCTGACGTAAACCTATGCCTCTTACTGGCTGCAGCGCCAGGAGAAGTGCCAATGACCGTAGAGGAGATACAACTTGCCTCTGCTTTTGCCGTTATCCTCCATCTAATTTTCCTCTTATTCTAAGCCAATGAGTTCGGACCCTCGCTTCGGACATTCTTTGCAAGCAATTGGTCCGCTACATACCTCCAATACTAATGGATTGCTTAAACCATACAACTCTTGAACAAGATGCGCTTGTGGTCGTTGACTGCCATGCAGGTGCAGTGGAGTCCGATGGATTTCTAAAAATGTGGGTGACTACTGAATGATTTTTTCATTCTCCGACGATTTAATTGTATGTTTGGTGCCAAACGCACCCCAGCCAGAGACTTACTTATGTCTTTCGGGTCACTCGTACGATGTATTTCTGTTGTTTTTCATAACAGGCTTTGACATACGAGTATTCTAACTAATAAAAATCAAGATTTCCTTCAGCCATAATGCAACTATGTAGAGCTCTTATTCTCTTGACAAGAATAACCTAGTATTCTAAAATATGTACGAGTATGTGCAAGATAGTAAATTTCTAATACTCAAGTCAACTTCGAGAAAGCTCCCCTCCCCATAAGCTTTTGGGTGTTTACACCGAGACCACTTAAGACAACTTAAGTACTGAATAGTCTCTCAAACTCAAGCATTTCCAAAGGTGGGTGTAGGAGCAGTTTTACAACTCGCATGTAAAGTGGCTTTCTAAAGCAGTTTTAGTTTCCGAAAATACAATTTTTCTGATACTACTTTTTGTCTGTGTGTTTGCAAAAATGCAAATTTTATTGCAAATTCCGGTAGAATACCCATCCATTGTTTGAGAAAATGTTTGCTTAAGGCGATAAGACCATAGAAAGTTAACAAAATTAAGAATTTATATTGTCGGCTTCGACGGATTATTCTCTTGTTAACAACATTTGTTCGGCAACTTTTTTTAATCGAATGTTAGGACCAGAGTTAGAAAAGTTATATTTTATTGTGAATTTCGGCAGAATATTTATTTCTTAACAACGTTTGTTCCATAACTTTCTTGTTCGGAGAAAAAAGTTTTATTTTGAAGTTATTGCAAATGAGTATTCAAAATTTTTTTTATTAAGCTGCAGAACATGAAGAAGGGGGGTAACCCTCTCATGCACTTTAAATGGTAGCTTTCGCGCTTTACTGCGCATTCGCATTTTATTAGGTGTTCAAAACATGTTCTTAGTAAGTTTTCCGGACCAAGTTTTTTACATAAACTTCAATCCCCGACTAACTTGATGTATAAAAAATTGTACAATAAAAGCATTTTTAAGGCCGGCAATACGTTCGAAAGTGCGCTAAAACCAAAATTTGTTTGTATGGAGATTTTTATTTTGCCAAATATTAAGGATGAAATGATACCATTAATTTAAAAGAAGTTTCGTAAGAAAACATCGATACCCGAAAAATATCGGTTCTAAAGTATCGACACCTATCCGTATCGGTTCTTTTGGCTATGGTATTCCGTATGAACTGGATCACATTTATTTTTTTTTTTAAGAAATAAATTAATTATCCTCGGCGAATCCTAAACTCCGAACAATAAAAATTAATAATTTAGGAACTGAAAATAAATAAAACAACATAACATAGCGAAACCATATGTTTAATGATGAATAGTATTTAAGAGAGATAATACCTTGGAAAAAATTACAAGAAGTTAATCTCGCTTAACCTTCTTAGAACCGTGAGTTGGATTTTTTATGNAATTTTTTTTTGTCATCCATGCTTTGCTGACTTTTCTTTTCTCCTTTGCTTCTTTTTTCTTTTTTTTCAATAACACAACCTAGTCCGATAATGTTTTCAGCGCGAAAAATAATAGAGTTACTCTGTACGCTAGAGCTAGAGCGTGTGTACGCTGCAGTGTTCTATTTTAGAAAAAACGACAAAATCAAACAAGAAGAGATACCAAAATAACAGCCATAAAGCTTTGGGCGATTCATATTAGTGGAGAAAAAATTCTGAAAGAAAGTACATGATGAGATTCCAGCGCAATCAGCTGCAACGTGATCTATTTGGGACACATGAAGGGAGCTGAAGTGGAAAACTAGACATATTTTTCGTAACAAAAACAGAGAAGTCTTTGGAGAGTGCGAATAGCTTGAAATAATGGGCGATAAGAAAAACGCCCATAAAATTTACCAGAAAGTTAGGCGACTCACGGAAGATTTCAAGGTTTATTGGTAATGATTTTACAGAAATCACTGACTAATTTTATATTTTAAGAAAAATTTACTTTTTATTTAACCCATTTAACCAATCAAAATATACTTTTTCACTTAATTTTATAAACATATACATAAATGTGCATACCAAAAATAATTTATAAGCACTTAAAGTCATGCAAAAACTTTCACTCACCTGTAAACTTTTCAATTGCAATAATTTGCTCGTCCGAACTGCTCCAAACTGACGACAATGTTAGCGGTGAATCGAAGCAAATGATATCGCCCACAGAGAAAATTGTCTATACTCACGAGCGTGATGAAAAGCAGAAAAAGGTGCCAACAACAGTAGCAAATAACGTTATATAGTCGATGAATTGTACGTGCGCGCAGCATAACAACAACAGATTTTGTAGTGGCGACAGCAATCAACAACAGCCACAACAGTAGCAGCATCCGCAGCAAAATCAGCATAGGCATCAGTAACACAGTTGGCCGATGCATGAAAATGCGCATTTGAGCGCGATTGGGAGCATGAAAAGCAGCAGACGGGGTTGATATGTTGTTGACATTTATGTTGATTCAGTTGGCGGTTATAGTAACGACGCAAATTTGAAGTTGGCAGTTGCAAGGAGTATTTTTGAGCGTAAAGAGATGAAAGTAAAGTTAAAACAAATTTTTATAAAAACTTAAATCAATATGTAGTCGCAAAAAATTAAAAACAAATACATGTGTGTTTACATAAGGACTATGTTTGGGATAATTGTCCATCACTAAATACAAAAAATCTCGAAAACTAATAGACCGATTTTAGAAATCACTCAAATTTAACGGCTTTTTTCAAATTTCTGATATACAGGATCAATCGCGCTAGAAATCTTGTGAGAAAGTCAGTACCTTGTATTTTGGAACGAGTTTCCGTAAAATTTGGTTTGGAGACAAACCGGTGTCGGCAGTATGCTAGGCAACCACAAGAATGAATGTTTGGTTTTCGAATTATTTTCCATCATTTTTTTTTTTTAGAAACGACTGTATGCGCCATCCATTAAGGATACATTCTGAAAAGCTGAACACAACTTTTTTCAAAAATCTTTAGCATTCTTTGGTACTTTATTTGTTGAAGCACATCGTTCTCTGGGTACCATTCGAGATCCAATTTGCTGAGGGCAAGAGGCTAATGGCAAGAGGCTAGGTCAGGAAAGTAGCAACTCAATGCTGTCTTAGGAAAAACTTTTAATCTTTTTTTGCAAACGTTCTTCAAAATATATTTGTGAGTTTATTGGTCACGTAGTTACAAAAGACCTGCTTTTTTCGACACAGCTGCATATTGTCTCCGAACCAGGAATTTACGAGAAAATTTTGACTGCCTTTTTGACTTAAACTTTTCGTCCACATTCCTCCGCGAGTAAAACTCTTAGCCTGGAAGCTGCTAAAAGTCGCTTAAATTATCCATGATGCAGTCGTCGAGTTTTTCAAAGAAATTTGTTTTTAGATTTTTGGCACATGGTTTTGCCTCTGTGTTCTTCGGACCGTCTCCGCAGCCACAAAGAGCGCGGAAACGCGTTTTTCTTCTGCCTGTCCTGCTGCGAAAACAACAGAACTGCGTTGTCGAGAATATCCGCAAACTCAAGGAGGGAACTTAGAGAGTTGAGCTCGCCCTCTAGATGAGAAAAATGGTTAGAATCGTATCCAGGGCAGAAATCGGACGTAGGAGAATCATGAAGACCCATCTCCCCAGAGGCAAAAACCATAGATATATATATAGATAGATATATGGATATAATTACAGCACCACCACACCATCGATTAAGCAAGGGCTTAAACGAACATCGAAGGATATTCGAACCTTGCCAAACATCCAAAGCTAGTCGCCTCCAGTTCGGGCGGACCGGCGGATAAACAGCGCTGTGTGGACGACATTCGTCAGTTGAACTCCGTAACACCAAGTCTAGGAAGCTTAGAATTAGACTGAAGGTTTCTTAATGCGCCCTACTCTCCCCGAAAAGGAGCTCACATAATCGATTCCCATAATCACTTCCGCAACAAAATTCTGCTGATGGAGATGATAGAACACAACATCTTGTTATCGAAGCAGTTCCTCATGGGATGTTACCGTGGGAAGCACCACAACAACGCTTTGCTTCAAAATAATCCGGCCCCGACACGGGTACGGCACCTGCACGATACAAAACTTCGCTCAACAACATTCAGAGCGATGTAGTCAGCACGAACCTTAGGAGCCGCCCATTCTTATTGAGGAAACAGAACTGCCGGGGAAAACCAGGGCACAGCTCATAAGTGCCTAGCCGGACGAGCCCAACGGAGTGGCCTGCCTTCTCGGTATTCGCTTCGCTGATTTAGAGGATGAACCGGAACCCACTTCAATAGACCGCGGGTGAGTTGAACAGTTGAACACCGCTGCTATAACAACAATAACAGCGTACCTTGCAGACGACCTCAAGAAAGGACCACTAATAGACTTCAAAAATGATACATTTCCAAAAATAAGCAACTAGTTTTCTGAAAAAGTTATGATTGGTCTAGGAGAGCATTCGCAACAAAAAATTTAAGTTGGAAGACCCGTATTAGAGAAACTGATATTTACCCATTGATTTAAAGTTTTATACTCGAAGTGTAAATCGAAAAATGTATCGATATGCATATTTTTACAAATCGATTAATTTGGCGTGTTCGTCGTGGTTTTATAAATATAATAATAATAGATTGGCTTTATGGAATATACTGGTATTTAGCTTGGCCGAGCTTCTCCTCCGACTTGTGGCGTGCGCCTTGATGTTGTCACACAAAGCGGAGGGACCTACAGTTTTACACCGACTCCGAACGGCGATTGTATTTTTATGAGAAGCTGTTTTTCATGGCAGAAATACACTCGGAGGTTTGCCATTGCATGCCGAGGGACGACCACTGTTAAGAAAAAACGTTTTTTCTAAAGTTTTTTGCGATGTTACTTTGACTAGGGCTTGAAACCAGGTGCTGCGGAGTGGAAGCGCGCACTGCTTACCACTACACCACAATGGCCGACTACACACTATATGCTCTTCGATATTATCAACATACACGTAATGTGTTCGCATAATATTATGAGTAGTAATGTACCTGGATTTAAAGTACCAGTATTTAAAGTAGTTTCATGTCAACTAACAACACAGTACAAAATCTTTATATATTCCGAAAAAATAGCATCAAATGTTAACTACTCTTGCAAAGGCTCCATCTTCAGAGGAACTTAGAAACTGCTTTAGGTCGTATATACTGTTAATGTTATGTTATTGTTGTTGTAGCGGCTACAACATGTCCACAGGGACAGAGGCGTTAGTTGTCTGGAATTTTCCGGGCGTACAAAGAGATGTTTCGAGTCGTGGAGTGACTCTCCGCATGCCAGACACTCATTTGGCACAACTGCATCTAATCTGCTCAGGTATGAGTTCAACCTGCTGCAGTAGCCAGAGCGAAGTTGGGCTATTGTGGTCCATTAAATTCACAAAAGCCTGATAAACCTCGTAAAGCTCGTAAATTTACGAGCCTCGTAACAAGACATTTGACTAATTTTCTTTTGTTGGTTTAATGTTCATTAATTTTTTATAAAAGTATAGCTCGTTATATAATGGCAACCAAATAAATCCAAATTTAAAACTTTACTTGAAAGTATAAAATTGTTTAATCAGAACTAAAAAAATCGAAGTATGCAGTTTTATATGACTCATTCAATTTTAGTGTAATGTGTTAAATGCAAGTTTGATTTATTTTAAAACTCACATCAATTTTTAGATTTTTTTTTTGCTGGCGTTGTTAAGTTTTTTGTTCCATATTAAAACATTTCAATCATTCTTTATAGGGGAGAAATTACAACTCACGTAGGTGCCATCAAAGAAAAAAAATTTTGCAGTTTTACCTTACGAATTTCATTTTTAGACAAAGATGTGTATTACAAAACATGAAAAATGCTGTAAGTGGCTTTTCATTTTGACCCGAACCATTTTCTGGGGTGGTTTTCGGTTCGCTTTTGGCATTTTCAAATAAAAACGGTTCGGTTCGAAGCCCGAAAAAAGCGACGGTTCGAATCAAACACCGGTTCAGTTCAAAACCGGTTTGCAGCCCTGGTTATTAGGCTCTTATTTATCCAAATTTTCAGGTAATAAAAAAATATATTCAATTTAGATGTTACTTCCCTGCAAACCAAAGTTCCCGAAATCTTAACGAAATCTTTAGGAGTATCTGATTTCTGTAACGATTTTTTTCCGAATCTCCAGAGAAAATTATATGAAGTGGTTGACACGAACTCGTAAAGAAATTTCTGTACGAAAAATAAAGAAAATTCTGAAAAAAGTCTGCAAGAAATTCTTCACATAGCAGCATTATTTTCATTTCTTCACCGATTTTATTCCGAAATTTCGTAAAAGAATGGAAGTGTGCGTAATTTATTTCATTTTAGAAAATTCGGAAAAAATCGGATGGGATCTTTCCGAATTCTTTAAAATTTCTTTACGATTCAGAATACTCTGAAAAAATGGTTTGCAGGGTTGTTATCGTAGTAATTTTTTAACTTATGGCTTACTATTATAAAATCACATAACGCTGTTTGCAAGTGGACTACTCATAAATGTAAGTTTATCAATAAACATATGAGCATATCGAACCCTAACCGCCAAAATAACGTAAGCGAGATTTTTTTCAATATTTTCTTTTTGGTGCAGAGATGATCTAGGAATATTTCTGCATCAAAAAGAAAATTAGAAAAAAAATGTCGCTTACGTTATTTTGGCGGTTAAGGCTCGATATGTATATCGATAAAAATCAATTAATAGTACGCCAAATTTTATTTCTAATCAGCGAATTCCGTTCGGTTGGGGAAATTAGGTATGACACCCAAACCTCGCTTCCTCCCTACATCTTAGTCAAGATTTTCTACGTTTGTTTGAGTAGTTTTATTGGCATGGGATATGCCACTTAAATTGAGCAAGTATCCGCCTTAATTTAGAAAAAAAATCTCCTAAAATTAGCACAACTCACCTTAGTCGGGAAGGTGTTTGGCGATTCTGCCACTGACAGCTTGATGTAATCCTCAGCGTATTTAACTCCAGTCGTATCTCTTAAGCTGATGGCAATCATGTTGTTTGCTTCACGCGGCAGATTTATCTATGTAAAGAGAGAAAGTATAGCAAATAACATAAATAAAAGACGAAATACAAAGAAAAAAAGTACTACTAAAAATGCCATATAACTTATAGTTATGAGAAAATGCATAAACTTTAAACTTTTTTAGAATAAAACAGCAAAGGAAATGCATGAAAAAGTTTAGGTAAAAATGCTCGGCACTAAAAAATGAGAAAAAGTTCTAGAGTGCGATGCAGTAACACGCTCAAGCAGCTCATGCGGCTGCACGGAAGACCGAGAAGAGCTTAAAAAAGGGAATGGAAAAAAATAAACAACTATGAAGCTATAGAAAATGCAGACTGTGTTATGGCACTGTTGCAAAGTGAGCAGGGTCACACGCACAGACACCGAGTAGCATGCATACAAAGTACCGATGCATACTGCACTCTTAATATGGCTTCAAACTTTGTAAATATTCCGGCAGCAGGACAAAACGTAGTGTGTTTTTTTTTTTTATTTTATAGTTTAACTTGATGCTGTAAAGAGAGCAAACAGCCAAACGTGCGCCTATGAAGAACCTAGTACCACTAGCTTAAGTTGAAAGGAGAAGGCGTGATTGGTCTGTGCTTTAGAAGCGCAATAGATGCATTTATTAAGCTAATAAATAAGTAGTCTTTTTTTGAATATGAATCTTTTTTGCATTGAGTAGATCTATCAGATGCATGCGTTATTAAAGTCTCCATTCGTCCTTCTACGAATTTAATGCCAGTAGGAAACCATTTTCATAAATGACCAACCTGAAAACTGCTAAAAGAGCTAGAAGACAAAGCGTTCAATAACTTCATCAGAAAAGCAGAGTAAAATTTACACAAAGAGAAAATTAAGAGAAAAAAATTATTGAACGCCAAACTAGTAAAAACTTGCAACTTCCGCCATTTTGACACTGTCTGGTGGTTAAGTTTTCGCGCGCAATTTTCCTTTTCGTTGGGAGTATTTCCCATCGTTATTGAAGCAATTAAATTTAAATTACTCATCCAAATTGTTATCACTCATACTGTTTTCAGCCTGTATTCATAAAATCTTCCTCTAAAAGGGCCTACACACGGATCGATTTATCGGCCAACCAGTTGGCCAACCGCTAGGAGTCGGTGGTAAATAAGCCATGCGTAGACAAGTTGGCAAACTTTCGTCAAGTTGTTTGTCAGGTTGGAGAAAAATAAATTTTTTTTTGATTTTCAAGGCAGATCGGTCAACTTGTTACTCTGTGTGTAAACAAGTTGGCAACCTAAAATGCGATTTTATTTTTTTAAAAGCGCATTAACAATGACAGGTGTTTTTCGGTTCGTTTCGCTAATGAAAATGTGTTTAGTTTGTGATAACTGGGGCGGTAGCAATAACAAATACATAAAAATGAGAAGAATTCGTAGCATAGCTTAAAAGTTCACCGGTGCTGTTATGTTGTTCACAGTTCAAAAACTCTCACTCAAATGAAATCCGCCAACTGGTTGGTGCGTTTGTAGGGAATTTCATTAAGTAGGTTGGTCAACTGGTTGGCCCATAAATCAATGCGTGTGTAGGGCCTTTTAAACCCTTTAAGACATGACTATCGTGATCATCAGTAGAGAAGAAAGGTGGCGCCCATCTCTGTACCGCTATTTTGCTCTCAGAGAATTTGACAGAATCGGTGTTTGTATGACGTCACTTTTGTGCAACGTTTCTCTTGCAAAATTTCTTCTTTTTCTAACATTCTTGTCCGCGTTTTGGCATTCCTCCCTCGCAGCTGCACCAGTGTGACGTCACGTAAAAATTATTCTCACAATTCCCCTCTGATGGGCGCAATCTTGTATTCTATCATTCTTGACTGATGATTACTTTCAAGAATTTGCAGCTCTCTCGGATTGTTACGCTCTCAAATTCGCTCCCTATTGCAATTATTTTGGGTTATTGAACTCAATTCCAGTAAAAACTAGCAAGTACTGGTAACAATTCATAACATTTTTTGATATTGAACGGACATATTGTAACATACAACAGCCCAAAGGGAACTAGACAAAGTCCAGAGAAAAGGATTTTGGCATGCTCACTTTTAGAATTTTCAATTTAAGTGTATATGCCTTGCCATAGCCCCCCGTAGTAGTCCAAGGAGTGTGATGTTTGAGCAGCTTTTTTTTCTGAATCTTAACGCAGCGAGAAATAGACGAAAATATGTGTGTAGCATGAAAGCAAAATATGTGCAACAGAGTACGGTATGGTCGGTATTGTAAACAGGAAGTGGCAAACTTTGTAAGATTAATATTAAATTTTTCATTATTGCGGGTGAAAAAAGTCGCTTAAATGCACAATTTTTTATATATCGTCACCTAAAATGCAAAAGGCCGTTACTAACATATGCAAGCAGTCGTTACTAATAAAAAATTCAAAACTCACGTTTGCAGTTTTATGCAAAAAAAAAATTTATTGGTCACGACTTTTTGCATTTGAGGTGACGATATGTACATAATTGAAAGGCAAAACTTTATAGCGTGTGCCCAACGCCAGGGCTGACAAGTTTTCGTGTTCTTTTCTCAGCATTTTAAATTGCATATTGCGTGCTATTTCCCTAAAATGTTGCCATATAAGGTGACATTTTTTTAGAAACGAAAACGCCATTAAACAATAACAGTTTTAATATACGTTTTTCAAGAATATTACGCACCCCAATTGTTAGGTTATTCCCAATTTGCACATCCACAATATCCTTGCGCGACAAATCGTACTTCAGTCCATTTACATCATCAATATTATGTGAAAACTCATTGCCTAAATTATCATGCAGCGAAATTTTCAGTACGAAATTCATGCCACGTGGTATTTTTGCTTCCGTCTGCTTTAGACGCGACGTGGGATATGCTAACGATGTCAAAATATATTGTATATTTTTCACTTCAATGCCAATTGGAAGTGACTGCTCGAAAGTTTTGGCCTGTTAAGATAAAGACATATCAATCAAAATCATTTTGTAGTATACCAAGCGGATAATTTATACTTACTATAATCAAATCGCGTCCTAGCGTATCCTGCGTGCGCACAACACCATCAGTAGAAACCTTGACTATGCCGCTGCTATCGCTATCCAATTTATAGACAACATCATCCAAGTTAGCTTTCAGCTGTATAGTGCTACGGGGCGCGACTAAAATCCAATCCATCGTGATGTGCTTGGGCGACTCAAGTTCCAAAATTTTGAATACTATAAGGGAAATTGTTTCAGTATTAGTTTGAGGTTAGGTGAATTACAATTGTTAATATTTTTTTGCACTACTTATGTATATATGTATGTACTTACCAACAACTTCGACAGAGTTTGTTATTTTTTGACCGGTTGATAGTTCCACAGTGGCTTGAATTTTAACCTTGCCGGGATTTAAAGCCTTTATACGCACAGATGTGAGATCTAGACTGTCATATTCAACACCTGTAAGTAGAGTTCAAAAGCAATTTCGGATTATTCATGTGTTTATCAAGCCTTTTTCTATTAATACATATAACTAATAATAATTTTGTCAGTTCCGTATCTGTGCTTGAACGCTTACTTTATCGTTCAAGCTCATCAGAAAACATCAATGATTTTCTACGAATATTTTGTGAACATAATTTGCTAGTCTCAAATAATATGCCGTATCGGAATATTCGCTCCATTTTTGTTAAATGCGTTTCTTAGACAAATAAAGGATTAGCATTTCCTTTTAAGATATGAAAATTGAAAAGAGCTAAGTACATATGTACATATTTGTTTCCTATAATGCTTCTCAGCTATTCTACCGGTAAATACACATTCTCAATGAGTATTCGCTTACCAGAATCCGCAAATACATTGTAAATGTCTACCACATCCTGTTGATTTGTTGTCCAAGTCACACGCATGTTCTCCAACGTGCCCAACACCATGGGTGAGAGATCAGGCACACCTGCAATTATTAACATTTACATTTGTACCACTTATCTTCCATACAGGATAAATACAAAGGTAGCATATCATATCCTTTGTACATGCATATGTACATATGTATATCTACTAACCCCAAACAGCAGCCGGCATTACTGCACCGCTACGTATGCGCACTAAAGGTGTCTTCACTTGTATATTCACAAAAGGTACAACATGCACTTCCACTGTGTCAGCGGATATGACCACTTCTTTGCCATTTCCGGGATTTGTCATAATACATTTACCGGTTATTTTAGTTGTGCCCAGCTTGTGTGCTGTAACAATGGCTGACTCCATTGCTGCAATTGAAAAGATAAGGTCAGATTATGAAATATAACAAAAACATACATATAAGTGAAATACAAGGTTACTTTTATACAAACTTACAGATAACTTTTCTATCCTGCACATAAAAGACAATGTTTACATCCGGCTGTGGTCCACCATGATAGTAAATTTGTACGCTTGAACCTACAACCAATGTGGAGTTGCGTGGATAGAGTCGTAGTGGTGGAAATACCTTAGTGTGGGACATGAGGAAAAAAAGTGTGATGTAGATGCGTCAAAATCAATTTATATTGCAATGTAGAAAATGAAACAAAACTGTGCGTATGTGCCAATATGTGTGTATTTTTATGTTCTATTATGCATGTATATATGTGTTTACCTGCNGGTAGATGCGTCAAAATCAATTTATATTGCAATGTAGAAAATGAAACAAAACTGTGCGTATGTGCCAATGTGTGTATTTTTATGTTCTATTATGCATGTATATATGTGTTTACCTGCACATTTACAGGTTCACTGGCGACTAGCAAATCGCCACTTCCGGCTGTAAAAACGATTTTCGTCTCGCCCAGGTTATTGCCGGTTATAATGTACCTATGTGATTAAGGGTATATGTATGTATGTATAAATAAAAAAGTATAAAAAATTTCCTTGTTTAAGATTTTTGTACAAACTAACTTCACTTCTCCGCTCTCCAAATCGTATTGCTCGCCCAAGGTTACACTGAGTATATCTGCATTAAAAATCTCTTCTGCCAATTCATAGATGTGTAGATTGAATGGATCAATTTGTAGTAAGTTATCATTGGAATCATAGATCTTCACAATAGCTTCAATAGATTGTGTGCGCTCAACGCGATCGGGCGACTCAACACGAATAGAACCGATGGTAACAACTGAAATCGAAAGATGAGCCGGCTCTGTCATCAAACAGCGATCGATGACCTCAAGGCGCGCCTAAAGGAGAAAATTTATTAATAAATCAAAGAACGCATTGCAATGAGGATGTTCACACCCTCCTGGGTATAAGAAGTTTCTGGTTATGTAGTTTTTATCAGTTTACAACAATAAAATATACTATACAATAATAAAATAAATTAAATTAAATTAAGTTAACTAAAAGAAGAGAAAATAAAATAAAATAAAAATAAAATAACATTAAATTAAATTAAACACATTTGGGTGTATTCTTGTTTTCGTAAGAATCGAAAATCATGAAATTTTCCCATCATTTTCCACACAAAAATTTGAAATTTTCGATTCGTACGAAATCCAGAATATACCTCAATAACTCTGAAAAATATATATACCTCATCTCTCATATATGTATTCCGACTATTTATTCTATTATACCTTAAATATCCGGAATTTTCTATACAAACACTTAAAATAAATTCACTTACATGTCCCACGCGCAGCGGAGTGATCACCAATTCCTTTTCTTTGGCATCATATTCAACACTTACAACGTTTTGTTCATATAATTCGAATTCATAGAAGCCACTGCCCTGAGAAATTGGTATGCGTTCACGACGATTTTTAGCCAAAAAAATGCTGACGTGGTCACTAGGGAACAGTGTGCTATTAACAGCCATAAAACGAATTTCATTCTCAATGACAGGGGTAAGCACTTCATCGGTTTTGGGCTGAAAATTTTTAAATTATAACTGTTATCAAGAACGGCAATGGAAAAATGCTACAACATACATTCTTTACACCAAAATTTGGTTCTTCTGCGTAAATGTCGTGTTTTTTCAGCACCGTTCCATCATAGCGCGTCACTACACCCTTTATACGGAAATTCTGTGCCACATCTGCTATGGTGGTTATGAGCACATCACGCGAAGGTAACCTCACGCCCTCGAACATCTCTTCTTCAGTGCGTCGAAAGTGCATGATGACATCGTTTTGATAGCGCTCGTCGCCAGCAGTGAATTCCCAGTCAATAAACAGCGAAGTAATATTCATCAGCTTGCGATTCTTTGAATCCTGTACCTCAATTTCGATTTCAAATTTGTCATCACGCTCTTTAATGTGCAACAATGAATTCTTCACCTCCATTGGGCAAGAGGCCCGCAACTGTTCTGTTGCATAAAGATTAAGGAAACGTGGTTTAACGCAATGAACTGTGGTGCTAACAGTGGAAATGTAGGGTTGGAAGTTGGAGGTCAACAAAGCATTGTGTATATTGAATGTGAAAGTAGTTTTGCCAATTTTACGACACATGACATTGAAGACGTGCATGGGTTCCTGTGTCCCAACCCCTAATTCGCTGATATCAGCAATGGCTCCGTCGTATGCCAATGATTTTGTTAAATCGCTTTCCAAGGTGAACATTTTCTGTGGACCATTTGCGTAAATGATATTGCGCGAGGAACCAATAGGCAATATCACTTCATTCTCGGTGGGATTTAGAACTAACAGTGGTTCAAATACGCTTAATGTCACCTCGTCTTTAAGCACTTTGTCTTGGAATTTATACGAGATGCGCAAATTAGTAAGACCTACAGCAGTGCTGCGTAGATGCACTACTTGGCATGCATTATTCTGCATTTGAGTTGTTGGTTCATTATAATCCACTTGGAAGATCTGATTAGAAAACTCATAATCAAACACAAGATTTTCGCAACGTGTGAATGGCACAAGTGTTTCATTGACGTAGGCATATATTGCGACATGTAGACGTACATAATCTTTCAAAGCTGTTTCAAAGTTATGTTTTATAATTTCCAATTTATTAGGTGGCAAGAAATATATATCTGCCTGGCGAGTAATTTTGGGATTCTTTGTAAGTGCCACTCTAATGGTAGCATGAGTGGTGAGTATTGCACCTTCTTCAAATATATCCCCTTGAGAGCGCTTGCTTTCCGAATGCCGTATAACTGTGCTTACGAGTCCAGTCTGTGAAATATGTAGACTTCGTTGATTTTGCGAGTGCCAAGTAAATGATCCATCACCACCCCGAGCATGAAATTGAATTTTTTGTGTCTTTACAACGTTAGGATCGAAAGGAAGTATAACTTTGTTCGGGGAAAGTAACAATTCACTAAAAATTTGCAACTCAGCTTGTGCTGTGAGCTGAACAAAAGGAATATAAATAGCTTTAGAACACTTGAATAAAACTTATAGTTCAGTTACTAACTTCTTTGAAATAACCATAAACTGGTGAAACGCCCTCCCGCATAGCTTCGCCGTATATGCGACTACCATTTTTGTTTTTTGATAGTATATAGAAGAGCACCTCATCTAACTCCGATTGCATGGAGAAACGTGAGCCTAGTGTAATCTTGTGATCATCACTAAACGCCAAGGGTAATATAATTCATATATTTATATTTAAAATAAATAAATTTACTAATACATACAGTATCGGTCATACGCCATTTATTTATTTTTAAGAATTTTCAATTAAATTTTAGTTCATTCTCAGACAAACCTCATATATACCCAAGTTTAACAATTTGTAGAAAACTACAAAAAAGTGCAACAAATTTTCACCCAAATTTCAAACTTTTTTCTCGGAAGTGTTAGAACTTTTTTGAGTACACAGTTTTTGAGCCCCTGCAAGTTTAGTTCGATAATGTGCAAATTTCAAGTGGCTACGAATAACAGTTAATTTTTTTAATTTTTTTTTGTCGCATTGGCTTTTATATAATAAATAAGCTCAATTTATTTGTATGTGGAAGAAAACCGCAACACCTTTGGCGATAAAAATTCTAAAAAATCAGCGGTAACTTTTAACCGCTTGAAACTTGCACATTATCAGACTAAAATTGATTAGGCTATAAAACTGTGCATTCAGAAAAATTCTAACACTTCCGAGAAAAAAGTTTGAAATTTAGGTGAAAATTTGTGGCACTTTTTTGTAATTTTCTACAAATTGTTAAACTTGGGTTTATATGAAATTTGAAATTCTTAAAAATAAACAAACATAAGTGGCACACAATAACACTTTGAAATGGCGTGCTATATATATGACNGATTTTGTTACAGAAAGAACTGTAATTTAATTTGAAATTCTTAAAAATAAATAAACATACATAAGTGGCACACAATAACACTTTGAAATGGCGTGCTATATATATGACCGATACTGTATATATATAAATATAATATACCGTGTGTATAAATCCAATGCTATTTCATGCTTTTCGCCCTCTACCGTAATCCAATTATTGTGTGGCAACAGGCTCAGACCCAAACGCACAGGCTCAGCCACGGTCACTCGCGCGCTGGGCGTTGAAGCTTTTACAAGCGCGCTATCTAGATGACTATTTTCTTCGTCAAACGGTGCATTTCGGTCGCGCAAAACTACCACGGTTTTACCAAGTTTTAAGGCGTTAGCGCTATTACCGCTTATTGATGCGACTTTACTATCTTCGATTTCTAAGAAGTATTGGTCATTCAGAGAAATTTCCTGTAGTTTGCCCATTTTCAATTGCAATATGCGGAAGTTGATTGTATCACCAGGCAGCAAATGCACATCTGAAGGTTCTAGTATGATATTGGCCAAAACGTTTATAAACACCTCTATTTTTGGCACATGACTATACTCAGGATAAGGAATACTAATAGTAACCTAAGAGAAAATCGGATAGTTAAAATTTGCTTAAAGTTCGGTAAAAGAACTNTATCACCAGGCAGCATATGCACATCTGAAGGTTCTAGTATGATATTGGCCAAAACGTTTATAAACACCTCAATTTTTGGCACATGACTATACTCAGGATAAGGAATACTAATAGTAACCTAAGAGAAAATCGGATAGTTAAAATTTGCTTAAAGTTCGGTAAAAGAACTTATAATAAGAATACCTTAGCAGTGCCTGTGTTGATGCCCTCTAACAACACCATATAANCATAATAAGGAGAATACCTTAGCAGTGCCTGTGTTGATGCCCTCTAACAACACCATATAACCTTTTAATCGCTGTGCCTCAAACTTTTCCAATGCCGGAGGCACCACGTGATAAGGACTTTCATTGAAGGTAAGGAATCGTAAAGCCGGCGCCCAATTTTTATTACCCCCACGGCTGCTCAAAGAAGAGATCACCCAACTAAACTCAATACCTTCTAGTGTAGTGAATTCATTGCCTTGCGAATCTTCCGCACGCAGCTCAAACGTCTCCGGCGCTTCCTCTAGAAAGAGCTGTCGTGTTGTTGTATGTACACCTAATTTGTCAATAACATCAAGTATAACATCGCAACGCAAATTTTCACCAGTAGTGACGTCCTCGGCCAACACAATGGCAGCATTGTGATGAGCTTCACGTGTTAATACAGTCACTGTTGCACGGTAGGAGCACTCGCTTTCCACATCTTCATAGAGTGGTGTGACAAGTATTAGATCTTGGCGGGATGATGACCTATAAGATAAATACGAAAAAAGTAGTAATTTTAGCTAATTTGCATGTTAATTATTCAGCAGCTGTGTGAGACAAGACAAATTCAGTTGTTGAGGTTAGATTTGGCGCGTTGTTGCAGCTGCCTGTTACAAAGTTAACTGGTTTTTACCACTTAAAACATCCTTTTTCAATGACTTCCAAAGTAAAATTTACTGATATTTTGTTAAATATTGGTAGCAACACACGCGGATAGTTCAATTTTAATGCAACAGAAATGCTACAAAGTGCAAACAAGCTGAGGATGACCAAACAGATTTTGCACGCCATTTGAGCACACTTTCGCAGAAGCCTAATTTCTTTGAAGTTTTCTCTATTAAAACCCTGTTTTAAGCTGTCTTAAACTGTACTAACAAATCGTATATTATTTTAATTGTTTACAAAAACGAGGAAATTCGCAGGGTTTGCAAAATTCACTTATTGCATGTTTGACCGCTTAAACAGAATGAAAATAAACCGGCACAGAGTTGCATGGATAAAGTGCCCACTAGGAATTTTGATGAAACAAGCTGTCAGCTTATATACAGTCTGCTCCGCAATGAGAAAAAGTTTTACCTTGTTCTAGAACCCAATTTTTCGAAATTTGGTATGCGTAGCTACGTTACGAAAAACGAAAAATCCACATGCTCTAACACTTTGTTGTTGTTGTTGTTGTAGCGGCAACACTTTCGAAATAAGTGCTGCATTGCCAGCTATCACTTGTTTTTCGAAGACAGTTGTATAAAGGAAAACAAGGTGGAAAGGAACCCAAAAACACTCATCATCGATTTCGGAAATATATTTCACCTTGCTCGTGCTGCAATAGCAATCTGCAATTCGTCTTTCGAACATAAAAAAAAAAACCTCTTTCCAAAGACACTTAACATGCAAGGTGTGCCTGCTCATGCAACTGCTTTCTCAATTTGACAGCCTTTTCGAAATATGTTGCATGCGAAATATATTGCAACGTCTGACACACTCTTAACTCCACCTATGCTTGAAGAATTGGTTCTCAATCCAGTTAATGCAATAAAAGCTTCTTCCAAGCCATTGAAAACATGCACTTTGCTACCCCACATCTCCACCTTCTACAGGTTCTGTTCAATAAGCTGTGGTAAGACAGAAATGTTAGGTGGAGACCGCAAATTTCCACTGTTAAACCATATCTGTCTTGCCGAATTCCTTGCCATCGATGTCTTAACGTCAGCTGTCATTTCGTAGTTTGACAACTCGGTTTACATTTTATCGCGCCATCTACATTGGGTACAGACCGATCTGATTGGCTTGATGACATTTTGAAAGTGATATGTTAAGACAGCAAGTTGCCCACATGAGAAAACAGGGCAATGTCAAAACAGATATTTGACAGACGTTAAGACATATTTGGTAGAAAGAGGAGACGTGGGGTTAGGTCCACCACCTATTGCGCTTGCTTCTGCCTGCGGTCACCATTAATGAGCAGAATTCTGCTTTCTGTGTTGCCGAAGGGGGACTTACGTATGTCAAACGTATACGACATTTCTTGTGCATATAATTCCGGCTATGCCGTCCACGATTTTTTTTGCGCAGAACCCACATCGAAATTTACAAAATTTGCCGAATTTATTAATAAACTAGTGCTCGGAAAATGTTTGTTTTAAGTTGAAGTTTAATCCTTTTCTTCCCCGTATATTTTAAAGGTTTTAGATACGGGTCAAGTGTTTGGGAACAACAACCTAAAATCATTGTACGAATAACTAAACCGGACCCAAGTTTCTCAATTAGCGGCTACAAAAATTCTTTTTTGTTCGTTCATATAAAGCAGTAGATAACAATATATGTATATGCGAAAGGCGAATTTATCTGTTTAAAAGAACACCACTAATATTTCCTCCATACACACATTGATTCACATCTTGTTGCTTAATTTTTATCCCGCTTCTGACACAGAAATATTTTCGTACAATATTACGCAAAAAAGCTGTTGATTTCTTACTCGCACGCATGCCATTGTTACGAATTTCGAAGGCGCGTGGCCCTACAAATCCTCGCTGAACGAAAGAGGATGGACCACGTTTTATGAAAACTCACACCCCCCGACAGACCCCTTGAGAGCTGTTTGAAAATAGTGGGAATTTGGATTTTTCGCAAATGATTATAACCCTCACTAATACTAGGTTTAGGAGATTAACTCCCTAATCTGTTATTAGAAAAAGAGATTAGCCATACGAAATTCGTCACTGGTTAATCTGTAATTACAAAATAATCTCAGATTTAACCGATAACTTTTTGGGGTTCATCCTAGTTTAATTATTATTTAGTTATTATTTTTGCGAAGGAGAGGGGAAATGGCTAACAGCGCGCTTACATTGGACAANGGGAGAGAGGGCGACGAGATAAGGGAAAGGGTACCGAGTTGCTCGTGCTCGGTCCACACGCTTTGTGCTCTCGTTCGTCTGAGTAACTTAAGTTGGCGGTTCACGGCTGACAACAACAGTTGTGTACAAAGTAGTAGCTCTGTGCGAACGCGAAGGGCAAAGCCAAAAGAGAAGTTGCCGAAAATGAGCAACAAAAGTTTCTCTGTTTTAACCAAGTCTAATGGTATTTTTAATACAAATGAAGTTAAAATATATTTAAATTGCTCAATAAAGCAAAAAAAAGGTGATAACGGTGGGACAGAGCAGAAACATAACTTTTTCTTGAGATGTGAGAATAACTACCACAACAAATTTGACGGCTAATAATCTGAGATTTGCCTGTGTAAACGGGGTGATTTGAAAAAAAAAAGATTTGATTGAGATTATTAGGGCGATTCTGAATAGAAACTTCCTGGGAGTTTTCTTTCATTTCCCTTTCGTACTATCATGAATAAAAATGCCTTAAGGACTTTTGACGTAAATGGCGAAATTGAGCTGTAAAACAAGTGTAAAACAGCTCTTTCGAAGTGCGAACTTCCTCCTCCCAAATTTTCGAGGAAAATGCTACTCCCTGGAAGTTTCTTGGGGGAAACAAATTCCTGGAGAACAAACAACAAGAATTAGGCTGTATATTAATATGTTAATATACTTTTATTACTGTATATACTGTGGTTAAGACGGTTTAGATAACTAACTAATCTCACATACTCTTTTATCCTCTTATTCGGCTTCGATACTTTTTACCCACAAATCTCATAGCCGTCGAGATTGCGCAACCTTCCCTACAAGAATGGTGTGATGGAAACTAACACATTCTCATTTACCTTACTAACACATTTACAAACTTTGCGTTGGTTAAAAAGAGACAACTAAATAATGCCATAATTCGGAGGAAGACGGAACACAAATGTTTACATCAGATTTTTCACACTGCCCTTTAGAATTTGATAGAAACTTGTAGGCAGCCAGTGACAGAAATCTCTATCAGTCTTGCCACTCAGATGATTTGTCAAATGATAGTCACTGTTCTTGTAGGGTTGTATTCCATGATTCAATAATAAAAGGTTTGCTCAAAAAACAGTTTTCTCGCTCCCTCTTGACAAAGCGTGAGCTTTTTATTTTGACCAATATCTTCGTTATTACTTAACTTTTTGTAATAGTTGATACATCAAAAAATAGGGAATCAAAATATCTTTCAGAATTATAGAATAAAAAATAATTTAAAATGCATAATATGCCTCTTTATCAAGCTCACACTCAACTATGTGCGTACGCAAAGCATTCGCATGTGAACGACAAGTTTCGACAGATGTGTGTGAGCGTCCATAAGAATACAAATGGAATTCTTTACCTTTGCCTTTGGAAAGCCATTTGCATAAAAAGGAAATTTTTGCGCGGCAATTTTGTGGCGCAACTTTGCGCATTGTGCTGTGCAATCCTCAATCAGCTATTTTGTTTACATTCATTTTGGTTTGTGCTCAACGCTTTTTCGAAATAACTGCGGTAAAACATAAATATTTGCTCAAATTTGAGTTTCAATTGTTCAACTTTATAAATTAAGTAAAGTGAAATAATTAAATATCAGAGATTGCGTAATATATAAAATTGTCCTTATGAAACACATGGCGCAAAGTTGCCCAATTGCCCAAATATGAAACTTGCGCGTGTATATGAGTACCCTTATTGAATCATGCTTAGTCCCCTTTCAGACACGTCAAGTCCTGCTTTCAAGTCTGCTCGTTCGTTGGTGAAGGAGGGGGGAAGAGAGGGGAAGAGTACAGATACCTCCGTACCGTCAATTCGTCTTGTTCTCTTTTGATCTTTTCGTTGCTTCCCATTTAAAGATCCGAGGACTTGAATTCAATAAAACTTGATGCGTGGGGAAGCAAAGAGAAANATCAGAGATTGCGTAATATATAAAATTGTCCTTATGAAACACATGGCGCAAAGTTGCCCAATTGCCCAAATATGAAACTTGCGCGTGTATATGAGTACCCTTATTGAATCATGCTTAGTCCCCTTTCAGACACGTCAAGTCCTGCTTTCAAGTCTGCTCGTTCGTTGGTGAAGGAGGGGGGAAGAGAGGGGAAGAGTACAGATACCTCCGTACCGTCAATTCGTCTTGTTCTCTTTTGATCTTTTCGTTGCTTCCCATTTAAAGATCCGAGGACTTGAATTCAATAAAACTTGATGCGTGGGGAAGCAAAGAGAAAACACAAAAGAGAAGGCGATAAAAATTGCTTTCAAGACTTGACGTGTCTGAAAGGGGACTTATATTCTATCATTCTTGATGAAGTTCTTTATTTTGTAATACCATGTCTCCACCAAAAATTAACCATCACAAATTGAATTTAACCACATCGCTAACTATTGCTGTCCACACGCTGACTGACGTAAAATTCGAGAGAGTAACGTGAATATGACGCCATCGAATATTTGCCGGAGCGGGAAACCCCAGGGTTGTATCAAACATTTGGCGTGGTTCCGTGTTACTTTTTTATGAAAATCGAAGTAAAACAAGCAGGCAGAGGAGAGAAGTAAATATAAAAGTTTACAAAAAGCGGGGTGAATATCTCTTATCGGAGTGGAATCTGAACTTTGGTAGTGAATGTATTTTCCAATTATAACCGCAGAACTCCACAGGCAAACATCGATGGCCTACCAACTGTCATTTTGACGAGCAATGTGATTGCAAGTTTTTGTGTGTGGGCACTTTGATGTCTTGAAATAAGCATTTGCCGCATGACGCCACCAGACAACATTCTCTCAATTTCGGTGTTTAAAAACATTTAAATCTTTAAAAAACTTGCTGAATAATTTCCTAAAACGTAATCATAAATAGACCAATAAGGAACATACTTTTATTTTGATTTAATATAAAAATTTCATCGATGTTACCACCAGCACGCTTTCTTTCAAATGAAAATATGGCTGTTAAACTATCGAATTGCCTGCAATACATGTCAAGCAATAAGCGCTGACATATATTGCAGCACATGAGAAATAGGCGGTCTCCATTGGAAATATATTTTGTGACATAGTTTTCACGACAT